CCTTCCCCTTCCCCTCCCTTTCCCCTTACCCCTCCTCTCCTCCTCCCCTCCCCTTCCCCTCCTCTTTTATTTCCCCTCCCCTTTTTCCTTCCCCTTTCCATGTCATTCTGTTTCCATGTCATTCTATTTAGGAGGCCCCAGGCCTCCTGACATCTTGTGTGTCTAACTGTACAAGTAATTCCAATGCTTGTAGCATTTCAGTGGGGGTGTGACTGTGGGGTTCCGTCCCTGTCCCCTCAGTCTGGCCACCTTGGTGACCTTGCCCTCTCCTTCCCCTCCCCTTCCCCTCCCCTTCCCTCCCCTTCCTCTCCCCTTCCCTTTCCCCTTCCGCTTCCCCCTCGTTTCCCTTCCCCCCTTCCCTTCTTCCCCTTCCCCTTCCCTTCCCCTTTCCTCCTTTCTTTCACAAGGTCTCACTCCTGTGGCTCAGGCTGGATGGGGTGACACAATCACAGCTCACCATGGCCTGACTTCCCCGGGCTCAGGTGATCCTCCCATCTCAGCCTCCCAAAGTAGCTGGGAATACAGGCATGCGCCACCGCGCCTGGCTAGCTTTTATGTTTTTAGTAGAGACGGAGTTTCAACATGTTGCCCAGGCTGGTCTCGAACTCATGGGCTCAAACAATCCATCTGCCTCAGCAGATGTAATCCCAAAACGCTGGGATTACAGGTGTGAACCACCACGCCCAGCATTGCTAACTTTCTAAGAGCAAAATCTCACCACCCCATAGCTCCCAAAGCTGGTGGGTATCTCTTCTTCAATTTTTTGGGCATCCTTAGTAATATTTTGGAATAACTAAACACCCTAACCCTTGAATGTGGCTAAATTGGTTACTAAAGTAACCTACCTACCTTCTTTCCTTTCAGAATGTTAACTGAGCAACTACTCTGTTTTCTCAACAGGTACCTCACACATTGCTCTTTTGACTACAAGGCTCACTTGCAGAACTCAGACGTTTCCACCTGGCGTCTCAAGGAACTTGAATGCAGTGTGCTCACGTGGACTTCATTACCCCTTTCTCACATGAAGCCCCCACTTTCTCCTTTGTTCCCTGTCTTGCTTGGCTCACGGAATCCCTAACTAATCCGTTGTCCCTTCATTTGCCAAGCTAGAAACCTGGCCACCCAACGAAACTGCTCCTGTTCCTTTCTCCCTGCATTTGATCATCATCAACCCCTGATGTTTCTACCTCCAAAGTCTCTTTAATCCACCCACCTCGCCAGCTCTACCTCTCACAGCTGGGCCACTGCGGTATTGCCTTCATCACCACCCATGGTGCCCATCCTCTCAGCAGCACGAAGCTCCGCTGCTGAAAACCCTATTACGCAGCTCCATTTGAAAACTCATGCAATGCCCTCTGCACAATAGTACACACACACACACACACGCCACACACACACACACACACACACACGAAGCTCTGCTGCTGAAAACCCTATTACGCAGCTCCATTTAAAAACTCATGCAATGCCCTCTGCAGAATAGTACACACACACACACACACACACACACACACACACACACACACATATATTTTGAGACGGAGTTTCATTCTTGTTGCCCGGGCTGGAATGCAATGGCACAATCTCCGCTCACTGCAACCTCCACTTCCTGGGTTCAGGCAATTCTCCTGTCTCAGCCTCCAAGCAGCTGCGTTTACAAGCACATGCCACCATGCCCAGCTAATTTTGTATTTTTAGTAGAGATGGGGTTTCTCCATGTTGGTCAGGCTGGTCTCGAACTCCCGACCTCAGGTGATCTGCCCACCTTGGCCTCCCAAAGTGCTGGGACTACAGGTGTGAGCCACCACGCCCAACCTACAATATTTTATTTAACCCTCACAACAACCTCATGGGGAATATATTATTATTTGTGCTTTAAAGCTAGGGAAGTGGTGACTTAGAAAGGCGCATGACTTGCTCAAGGACACACAGTGAGGTAGAGCTGGGCATAAGGCCAGATCCTTCCGACTTCAGAGCCCCAGCTCTTTCCCCCCGAGTCGGGGGCTCACACCTTATTGTAGAAGCACCTCCCACATCTTCCTCTCAAAATGCCCTGGGCTGGAGCAAATGGGCCCACCATCTCCCCGGAAAGGAAGGGAAGTCCCTTATAGGAAATGCCTTTGAAAGCTTTTCTTTGACCTCAAAATATATATTTGTAAACTTGTTTCCTCTTAAGAATTGATGTGAATTTTACGTTCTATGCCCTAGTTAAATGTGTTAGTTTTTATGTGAAAATGTTTCTCCTCCAAATTTCTAAGTAACAAAGACACTGCAAAAAGTCGTGCCCTGTTGGGTTTCAAGGTCCTGGGTGAGCTCCCGAGTGCCCTGGGTGGCCTGGCAGTGCCATCTGGAAGGCATGGGCCTATGGAATGACGTCGGAACTCCTGATCGGGGTTCACCGCCTCTGTGGCCTCGCTGGCTTCATCACTATGTCCCGTGCCCTGACATTCCTCCACGCCAGGTTCCTTCTTCTTGCCAACAAGACCTACAGTAGGGCCGGGTGCGGTGGCTCACGCCCATAATCCCAGCACTTTGGGAGGCTGAGGAGGGTGGATCACGAGGTCAAGAGATCGAGATCATCCTGGCCAACATGGTGAAACCCCATCTCTGCTAAAAATACAAAAATTAGCTGGGTGTGGTGGCACGTGCCTGTGGTCCCAGCTACTCAGGAGGCTGAGGCAGAAGAATGGCTTGAACCCAGGAGGTGGAGGTTGCAGTGAGCCGAGATCGCGCCATTGCACTCCAGCCTGGCGACAGGGCAACACTCCGTCTCAAAAAAAAAAAGAAGACCTACAGTAGATTTCCCCTGTAAGTGCCATTCCTGGGTCTCTGGCCTTGGCCTTCTGTCTGCCCTTCTTTCCCTCCTGCTTACATCCAGGATGGCCCACCATCTCTACCTGCAAACTGTGAATTGCCTTCAAAACTTTCTGGCATGCCACTTCTCCAAGCAGGCATCCTCACTCACCCTGGCCACCAGCTGCCTGGGAGTCACCTTGTCACCTTAATCACACCCCAACAGAACTCATCTCAGTCTGGGACAGTCATTTGTGGAAGTCTTACTCTACTGACCTCAGGTGCACTGACGGCCGCATCTCCAGCTGTAGCCTGACAACTCAGTGGATGTTGAAGGACTCAAATTATCTTCTTTTTTTGATATGGAGGTTCACTCTTGTTGCCCAGGCTAAAGTGCAATGGCGCTATCTCGGCTCACTGCAACCTCCGCCTCCCAAATTCAGGCGATTCTCCTACCTCAGCCTCCCTAGTAGCTGGAACTACAGGCATGCACCACCACGCCAGGCAAATTTTGTATTTTTAGTAGAAATGGGGTTTCTCCATATTGGTCAGGCTGTTCTGTTCTCGAGTTCCTGACCTCAGGTGACCTACCTGCCTCGGCCTCCCAAAGTGCTGGGATTACAAGCGTGAGCCACCACCCCCGGCCACTGTTTTCATTTTATAGAGGGGAAATGGAGACTCAGAATAGTCATATGTCTTGCCAAGGGGGTTGCTTGAGAGAACCAGCGCCGGATTCAAATCCAGGGCAGTATGGCTGCAGATACCACACGTGTGACTTCCAGACTTCTGCTCAGGGTGCACGCCCCAGAAACATGGGGGACTGACCTGGGACTGACCCATTTATTCTTTTGCCAAGAAAGGGTGTTAGAAAAAAAACAAGCAGACAAGCCACTATCTACTAACAGCATCATGTCATAGCAGTGACACCGTCGGAAGGACCTAATTTAACCGCAATACAGTAGGAAGGACATCATTTGAAGAATAAATGACACGCCTTCCCTAGATGGGACAGGTGGTAACCACGCACAGACGCAGGCTGTGGGCTGACGGATGCTTCCTGGTGACCAAGCATATGGCAGTCACCGCACTGTGCTTGGGGAGGATTGCTGATCAATGTCACCACCAAGGTCACACAGCATTCCTCAGCACTCCGGTAGGACGGCAAGAGAGGCACGCCTGAGCTTCAGGAGCCGACAGCACCGCCCATAAGATAAAGCCACACTTCTTGACCAAGCAAGCACTAAGAGATGGACACCTCGCTGCTTTCCCTTTCCCAGGACGACGAGGGCTGGAGGGGAAGCAGAAGAATAGCCCGAAGGGGTGGTGGAGGGGGACAGGACACCCTAAGATCAGGGCTCGAAGGCCTGAGGTTGCCTAGCTGGGCTCTTCTCCCTGGACAGCTGCTAGAGGTCGCTGCTGCCTCTCTCTGTCTGGGACAACCCCTCGCTGGGGCCTGTTTTTTTCTCTCCAGAGCAGCTCAGAGGGCATCCCATGAGGACGGCAGGTGCCTCCACCTAGCGAAAGCCTCCAGCCTCCCACCCTCATTTGCCCATTTCCTCAATTCAGAACCATTTCTGCGATGACCCTCTCCCCTCTCCTAAGAAACCCACCTTGATTAGATGTGGCAGAATGATGACACAAGTTGAGCCCCTCCACGTGCCAACCGTGAGGCTTCCAAACTCCACATCGGCCTGACGTTAAAACCATGCCACTGCTTCCAGGCAGCCTTCCATGATCTTCCCCACCTCCTTCCTCCTTCCCTCTCCCTCCTCCCCGCTCCCTCCCCTGTGCTGCAGCATGAGCTGTCCTTGAGCCCCTCCTCTAGGCCCTCCACCAAGTCCTGCCCCACCACACCAGACGGTATTGCAATCTCTTAGGGGCCTATCTGCCTTTCTCTTGAGACAGAGGGTCCTGAGGCCTGTACAGTGCCGGCCTCACACTCAACACATTCTTGCCAAACCTTCGTACTGAGGGGTCTACGTCTGTTTATTGTTTTTTTTTTTTTTTTTTGGGAGGGAGTCTCACTCTGTCGCCCAGGCTGGAGGGCAATGATGTGATCTCGGCTCACTGCAACCTCTGCCTCCTGGGTTCAAGCGATTGTCCTGCCTCAACCTCCCAAGTAGCTGGGATTACAGGCACCCACCTCTGTGCCCAGCTAAATTTTTTTTGTATTTTAGTAGAGACGGGGTTTCACTGTGTTGCCCAGGCTGGTCTCAAACTCCTGAGCTCAGGCAATCCACCTGTCTCAGCCTTTCAAAGTGCTAGGACTACAGGCGTGAGCCACCGCACCCGGCCCTATTCATCTTTTTGATTGGAAGATGTCAGCAACTCCTGCAGGTTTGATAGTTCACTTGGGTGAATACCTGGCACCTCCTGCCAATGAGGATTCGACCAGATCATCACTTCTCAAGCCCTTCCTCAGTTAGAACCTCCAGGGCTGAGATACAGGACTGGAGTTTTTAGATACTTCACACAGGATTTGGATAGTTAGCTGCATTGACAGACCACTGACGGCATGCTCTGGGGTCACTTTTTACCTCTGGCATTCTCTGGTTCTAGAACTGGAGTGCTGTTGAGCCCATTCCATAACTAATTAACTAAGACGGTGAGCAATCCCGTCCCACCCGCATCCCTGCCCGTACCGAGATATTCTGCTCAGGAAGCTCCTGAGACCCTCCCCAGGCCAGGGGCCGCGTCAGCCACTCACCCTCGTCAGAGCCCGACTGGCCAGCATCTCAAAGGCCTGCACCACATTGATGTCGTTCTTGGCACTGACTTCAAAGTAAGGAATATCTTTCTCTCTACACCAGCCTTGCGCTACTTCCTGGGGTACCTGAATGAGGGGAAGAAATAATCATGGTTCCCGTATTATCATCATCACCGTTGCCACCATCACCACATTATGTCATTGCCATTGTCACATCCCCACCGTCCCCACCATGCCCTCCACCACTCCCATGATTGAGAACTTTCCAAGTGTCTATACCTTTACATATCAATGTGGGAGGTGGGAATTGTTAGCTCCATTTCACAGATGAAAAAACGGAGGCCTGGAGAAAACACATCTTGCTCAGAGCATGTGAGGCCGAGCAGGATTTGAACACAGGCCTGGCGGAATTAGAGCCCACTGCACGTTGCTGCCTTCCTAAGGCCTCAACTAAGAGTGTCTTCTGCCATTGCCTCCTTTGTCAGTCCCTTCAAAGGGAGCTGCACATGAGAGATGCCAGCCGGGAAGGACAGGAAGGGAGGACTTTCTCCTCCAGGCCAGCTAGGCAGGCTCACACTCAGGAGGCCTGCTGCTGGGCAGAGACTCGGGTCTCAGCTGACCCTGCTTCCCCAGGGTAGGGTCCCAGGAACAAGTAATAAGCTCCTACTATGGGCCAGGCACTGCGTTAGTGACTTTATCATATACGAACTCATCTCATCCTCTCCGTAACCCTGTGGGATGGGCGTTATCAGTTCTGCTTTATAGACAAGAACACTGAGGCTCAGAGAGGTTCAGCAACTTGCCCCAGCTCACACAGCTGAGAGAAGGCAGAGCTTGAATGCAGCCCCAGCTCAGCGCTCCCCTGGCATCTGAGCTGCCCTCCACAGGGCACTGCATAAGAGCCATGCCTCACCTTTTCTGCCTCCCTCTGGGAGCTCCAGGTCAGGAGCTCAGCTCTTGGCCTGGCACACATGAGCCACTAGGCACAGACTGAATGACTCCCTCTCTACCCAAGTGCAAACGGCTGTTCAATCTGTAATGTTGGCTTGGAGATGCTTTGGAAGCCCTTTGGGTTACTTCCAAAGACAATTGGTCACCACCGAGCTTGATGTCTAATGATTTTGGGGAGGGGAAATGACCACATTTGCTGAGCCTGGTACTTTATAGTCATGATTTCAATTTACTCGGGGGAGCCAAGGTCTTTCTCATGGAGAAAGAACCCTTCCACCCCTCTCCCAGAACGCAGTGCAGGCAGAGGCAGATCAAACCCTGCCCGTTTCAGTGGTCTCTGGCTCCTGCAGGTTCTGGGAATGGCTTTCTTACTGGGATAAAAAGTTCCAGCTGGTCTCAGCTGACACTTTCCTCTGACTTACCATGACCAGATTCACCCGAGCCAAGCGCCTGGCCATGGCAGACTTTGGATCTCATTTCTGCCTGCTCTCCGTTTGGTTTGGAATGATTGCATACAGACTCGGAAATATCATTGTGATTATGTTGCAAATCAACATTCTTTTTATATCTCCCCGCCCTCCCCCACCCCAACCTCAGAAAGCTGGCCTGGGAAGAAAGCTGCCCAGACAGGATTTTTCACTTTTCTCTTCCAATCCCAGAGACAGTTTCACGATTTTTAAAATCGTCTCATCTTTTATTTATAAAATGAAAGTTATTTATAATTTAGGCTCTGACTGAAAATAAGCTCAGGGTGTGGCACTTGGAGACATGGGAAGTATGACAATTCTGAATGTATTACTTGCACTCATGTTGCTTTTGGTCAACAATATACTATTGACATTTCACTTTTCTGGTGACAATTTCGCTTGCTCATTGGAGGCCAAACATTTGATAAATTCGTCCAGTTGGTGTCATTGTGTTTATGATGCTTTTCCATCTCATATGCATTTAAGATAATTGATTATACAAGTGCTAAAATTAGCATGTCAAATACTAATTACTAAATCTTAAACCATCACTAAATGTAACAAAGGACATTTTTAGAAAACATGATCTTAATTTTATGGAATCACTGGTAAATCAGAAACTACCCACCTGACACAGAGCAAACAATTCACGCCCCAGTGAGTAAATTCCCCGTAGCGCAGATGCCAGCAAAGCTATTCTTTCCAATAAACTATTTTTTTTCATTATTATCTTCTGTAGAAGGAGCAGGGATTTTTTTTTTTTTTTAAAGCTAAATCGGTTATTTCTTTAAAATTATTCTGGCTACATATGTCTGTTTTCATTGTGATGAAATATACCTCACAAAATTTACCATTTTTACCATTTTTAAATTAAACACTCTTTTTTTGATTTTTTTTGTTTGTTTTGGTTTTGGAGATGGGGGCCTTGCTATGCTGCCTAGGTTGGTCTTGAACTCCTGACCTCAAGTGATTCTCTCACCTCAGCCTCCCACAGTGCTGGGTTACAGATCACAGGCATTTGGTACATTCATATTGTAGTCACGTTGTACATTCCCCAATACCCATCTTCAGAACTTTCTCATCTTCCTAAACTAGCAATATATATATATTATAAATAATATATGTGTATATATATATGTTTGTCTATGTGTGTATATGTATACGTATATATATATAAATAATTTTCTTTTTTAAGACAGTGTCTTGCTCTGTCTCCCAGGCTGGAGTGCAGTGGTGTGATCTTAGCTCACTGCAGCCTCTCTCTCCCACGTTCAAGCAGTCCTCCCACTTCAGCCTCCCGAGTAGCTTAGACTACAGGTGTGTCGCCACACCTGGCTAATTAAAAAAAAAAAAAATATATATATATATATATATATATATATATATATATGTATGTATTTTTTGGTAGAGATGGGGTCTTGATACATTGCCCAGGATGGTCTCAAACTTCTGGGCTCAAGTTATCCCCCAGCTTTGATTTCCCAAAGTGTTGGGATTACAGGCATGAGCCACTGGGCCAGGCTGCAGTGTATTTTTAAATACTCATTGTCTTATTAGTAAGTAGGAGAAGCCGCTGTATCTTCCCAGCTGTCCCTTGGAGATAATAAGGAGGATCACTTCCTGGTTCCATTATTTCCATTATGGAAACCTCATCCTTCCTGTTATTACTCAGTCTCAGGAAGTCTGACCTCCACCCCACAGAGGAGAAAACCGGTCCAGGCCACATGGACCAGGTGGGTGGGTGTGAGCATGGGTCTGTGGGACAGGCTTGAGGAGAAGGAGCCCCATGAGAACATGTGTCTTGGCTCCCCTTCTCCATGTCCACACCCAGCCAGGGACAGGCAGAGCCCTTGCAAGGTCTGTGCAGAGTAAGGACATTTGAGGCCCGGCACCCCCAGTCTTCCCTCTTGGGGCTTTATAATCCCAGGTCTCAGAATTAAAGTCCTTCTGCTCTCTCCCACCACCCCCTCCTCTCCACTAACCCCTCCTGATTTCACTGTTGCTCAGTGACTCCTCCCCTCCCCATCCTACCCCACCTCCCTACAAACCTCTTCCCTGGGCCTGCCTTGTTGAGAGACAGGCTCCCTCTCCTCCCTCCTCTCCTCCTCTCTCCTCCCTCCTCTCCTCCTGTCTCTCCTCCCTTCTCTCCTCCCTCCTCTCCTCCCTTCTCTCCTCCGTTCTCTCCTCCCTCCTCTCCTGCCCTCTACTCCCT